CGTTTAAGAAGATGACTGCATGTTTAACTGTAAGATTTTATTCATATGTAGTAGAATACTGAATATACTTAATTCTGTCATTTCTTTAACAGTTTGGCTGAAACTGTCCATCAAAATGATGTTTACATTTCAGGTTTCAGTGACCAACTACTTCGGTGAGTAGTATTCATTTTCTTTGAAGTAATTGATTTATTAGGTATTTTATAAATAGCCACAATTTTACTTACTTGCTATTTAGGTTTAAGATACAAATTACAGAGCCTCTCAGTCTATCTTTCCATTACATGTCAAAATTTCAGAAAGCATTTTTTTTCTGAACACTTATCACTGAAGTGTACAGGGGCAGTTGGGTGGCTTAAGCCCCTGCCTTTCTGCTCTTATGATTCCAAATTGCCCTTTTTCTCAGTCGTAAAAATTGTCCCTAACTGCCAAAAGACATGCCTAGTTATACACCTTGCTTGCTGCAAATAAAAAGACTTCAACCTTTAAATGAATGGCACACGGGACCTTGTAGTCTTTACGATGAACCCTTGCCCTCTTAATTTCCTGTGACTGTTATCATAGAGCAAAAAACTTCATTTCTAGTAGATCATACAGAGGATTGTTTTTTATGCTAACAATTTGATATTCAATCACTTTCTTGTACCTAGCTGTGACTGCAGAGGTTACGAGCCCTGACCCTCTTGTTGGAATTCAGTGTAAATATGGTGATTTTCAAGTGCAGATAGTGTTTGAATTTGACCCTCTTTTTGGAAGGTTATGTTTTAGTACTTCCTGACAAAGTTGTATAATTTTGTAGTTATTTGGTTAAACATATTTATACTTTTCTGAGTAGTTTTGTGCAAATTTTTTGCTGAGTTTTTAAGACGAAGTTATTAAGCCCTTTTATAAAGAAATCTTAACAACTAACTTGCTTATTATGAAATTTACAATAATTCAAATTCTTTGCACTCACTTGAAAAAACGTTTCCTAATTAACTGCAATATGAGCAGAAATTGCATTTAATTTATAATTTGTTGAACTATTAGCAGTTTACAACTTACAAAATTTCTTTAGCATGTGTATTTATAGCCTCACATTTTAATACATCTCAAAAATACGCTTATTATAAAAAAAAACATCCTGCAATCTAAAAATATAATGCTTCTTGATCACATTTCGTAAAGTGTAATTATGAAAAATAAATCATCTTTTAATATATCCAAAAGAAACAATAGATTATAAAAGTCATAATGTAATGTGACTATTCATATGTACCATAACTGTGTTTGTTATGAATGTTATCACACATTTCTTTCTTTTTTTTCCCAATTATACATAATAACTAACATTGCAAAATAGCACTTATGTTATTGTTGGATGGCTAATAATTTCTCTCTGAAATAAATCAATTTATTTTTAGTGACACTAGTATCATTTCAATTTTTTGCTTTAACATTACTTTTTATTCGTGCCAACTATTAAACCCGTTTTTGTTTGTTTAGTTTCGTTGCAGAAAGAGGAAATGGATCACAGATGACCTTTGTGGAAAACATTGACAAAAAATACAATCTGAGATCACTTCCAAAGCCAGCATTAATGAAAAAAACTGAGGATCATATTGAACAACAACTTAATACGCTAAGTACTCCTTATCTGGCATATACTCCAAAGTAAGTTAGTATACAACAAACACATGACTTCAAAGCAAGATGATATGCAAAGCTGAGTTACATATCAAAGAACTTTCTTATTAGCCTAACTTGTGTTTTATATACCAAAATTATTTAATAACAGTTTTCTGAGTTCAAATAGCACCAAATAGTTTATTTTACAGTATAACTCAATACTGAACAAAAAATGTATAGTGCAATCTATTCAAAGTTACCACTGATTATTTTTTTAAATATATTTACAGAAAAGCTGCTATAGTAATTCTTTAGGTTGGGAATATAATAGTAATTAACAGTAAAAAACAAACACTAAAATTGATGGATGTATAGTTAATACATATAAATCAAATTTCTTAAATGAGTAAAATTATCAGCTTTTTTTCTATACCAGATGGAAAACGGTCAAAGTTTTCATCTCTTCAACATTCAAGGATATGCATGGAGAGCGGGATTTGTTGGTTCGTTATGTCTTTCCCGAACTACGAGCTCGAGCACAGTCACTTTTTGTTAACATCCATGAAGTGGACCTACGGTGGGGAATCACAGAAGTTGAGGCCACTAAAGAAAGGTAAAAAGTATTTACATTTTTCATCTAATTCACTTTCCATTGTCAAAACTTCAAGCCAAATTAAGGATATAGCCAAGTTACGTGCGTATTAACAGAAGAGTAATTATATCTCTGGAACCATAACTTTTACTGATATAGAATAGTTGTTTTTAAATTCTGATTCTCTTATTTCTAGTTAAATCAAAGATTTCATCTAAACTGATACAAGTAATTTTTTATTGTTCTGAATATCTCTGGAACCATAACTTTTACTGATATAAAATAGTGTTTTTTTATTCTGCTTCTCTTATGTCTAGTTAAATCAAGAGATTTCATCTAAACTGATACAAGTAACTTTTAGCAGTTCTGAATATCTCTGGAACCATAACTTTTAATGATATAAAATAGTTTTTTTTTTAATTATGTTTCTTTTATTTCTACTTAAATCAAGAAATTTCATCTAAACTGATACAAGTAGTCATTCCTCTTATTTTTGTATATATACATATATATATATATATGAAATTTACAAATTTTATGTGAAATTAAATATTAAAATAAAGGTCTACTATTAAACTTGACAGAAAAAGTAACTACAAATTTGAATTTTAAAAAGAAATCTTGTAAATGAGAGCTGTATTTTTTAACTTATTGGTAAACTGAATGAGGTGTTTCCAGTTGTTTTTTGCTTTCACTTCCCTTGGTGGCTTTGAAGAAACTGATTATTAATAAATATGGCATTATAAAATCTATCATTTTACAATAATAATAATATCTAAAAAAGCAACAAAATTGATAAATTTCATTTACGTGCATGGAGTTTTCATACTTACTTATTTTTACGATGCTCAAGGAATTATAATTACTATTATTTAAAGAGTTTACTGAAGTAGCATACCTCATTATTTAGTGACATTTTCTCCTGACAGTTATAAAATTATTTTGAGTTTTGTGGACTTTTGTATCTGATGAAGCTGGTTTTTTTGCATTTTATGTTTTAACATTAAAAATTTTTCTCGTTGGACAGCTCTTTGGAGGTCTGCTTATCTGAAGCTAGCCAGTGTCAGCTTTTTGTAGCAATTCTGGGAGAACGTTATGGATGGTGTCCACATTTCTATAAGGTCCCAGAAGATCCTGCATTTGACTGGGTTCGAAAGTATCCTAAAGGAGCTTCTATTACAGAACTAGAAATATACTGTGCTGCACTATCTAATCCAGCTGCTGCAAGAGAAAAAGCCTTCTTCTACTTTAGAGACCCCCAGTTTCAGAAGTATAATTTCCTTAATCCATTTTACTGAGATGCTGAATTTATGTAACAATGATGTTGAAAATAATTCTTGTTTTGTGTATTTGTGTTCTTCAATTTTGCATCCTGATCTATCATCAAAGCAAAGTTACAATATAGTCGCAGACTAATAGAGAGAGAGTGTAGTTTTTTTGTTAAGTTTATTTTATCTTTTTTTTTTTATAAAGTTTGATATTAGTTTTATACTATTTTGGTGGTACTACCCATGTAGAGATTTATTCTACTCTATTCTTATTGTTATTAGAAAATCTTGCTTGACTGCTCTGCTGATTCTGAGTTGTATTTCATGTTTAACTGACCTGAAGCACCTACTTTTGACAACAATTCTGACACATATGTAGACTTTCTAGTATTTTGAATTATTTTGAAATTGCAAAAATTCTAGTAAAATATAATTTATAATACTGTTAATTTTTGAGTATGATTTTATATATAAATCAATAGTTCTGATACTATCAAACTCGTTAATTTTGAAAAGGTGATCAAATCAGCACTATAAAACAGTAATGAAATTAATACAAATCTAAAATATTCATAGAGAGACTCAAATTTTTGCTTTGCAGGTTCTTGTTGTCATTATTAAGTCATAATGGATTTGTCTATGCATATAGATAGGTATAGATATAGTAATTAGTTTTTAAATAATTTGGGAAATTATAATGTGCATGAATTTAGGGACTCAAAGAGTTAAAGTATTGGTATTGCTATATCTTTATTGATAATAAATTATTATCAGGCAGCAGTGCCTTTGTAGGGATGAGTTCAGTTCTTGCTTTCTTTTCTTCTTTCTTTTTTTGCTGTAACTCAGAAACCATTGTGTGCCTACTTCCAGCCTGTACACCAAAACATTTCTCTGCTCCCCATGACGTGCCTTTTCAACCTAGAAAGCCCAAGTGATCCATGATAGGTTAAGTACAGCCCAAAATATATGCCATGATACAGATTGTTTAATATTGCCCAATATGCATATCAATCAATAGATGGCACCACCCACGATGCTAATCATAAAAAAAAAAAGTCCAGAAACTAGCAATAAAAAGTTCTATTCTAAAATTGTAGGAATGGAAAAAGATCAGAAACTAGAGAGCATTTAGGATGGGAGGAAAATCTCCATTACCTCTTCCTGCATTCAACTACCTAACTTGTATATGCATCCACCCTGTGAGTGGGTGAATGCAGGAATGGGTAATGTATATTTTCATCCCATCCCAAATGCTCTCTAGTTTCTGATCTTTTTCCATTCCTACATCCCAACAATTTTAAAATGAAATTTTTTGTTGCTAATTATTATTCAACATTCTATAATGTTCTTGCTTATTTCAGGTGCTTCTGTTACTTCAAAATTGTTTTCTAGCGTGCTTTAAATTTCTGATACTATTTACTGTAATTATTGGTCTGTTTGTTTTATAATACATATCTTGAAATATTAGTTTTTCTCTAATAGCACAGTACCAAATGGTTGGAAAAAAGACTTCACAACTGAGGATTCATTTTCCAAAGAGAAGATGACACAGCTGAAGATGAACATTTGTAAAAGTGGTTTTGAAGTACTTGATAGGTTAGGCTTTTGTTATTTTAGTTTTAATAATAGAAATGATTAATTTGTGATGATAAGTTATTGTACTAATTTGAAAGCTCATAATTTCAAGAATGACATAGTTACATTACTTACCACAATGTAAATTTTATTCTATTGTCTTTGATTTCATTAAAAATAATTGAACGGTTATGATAAATACTGTATTTATTGTTATTCACAGACAAGCAGAGAATACGTAGGAAACTTGTGTCTGAGAGAAGACATGCAATAAGAAATAAAATCTTGTGTAGCAATTGTTATTTTGTTTTGAGATTGGATATTTTAGTTTTATATATTAGGTTGTCAAGAAATTAACGTTGCTTTTTTTTAGATGAAAAAACCTGAACAACTTATATATCGAAACAAAATATTTATTAAATGAAACAGTCTCCATTCTTATCGATGATGCTTTTCCATCTTACAATCAGGTTGTTAATGAAGCCAAAAACATGCTGATGTTCTTTTGAACACCACATTTGCATATGCTTTCCCATTAAGATGGTGTTGCAGCAAATGAAAAAGATGGTAATCTGATGGTGCCATATCTGGAAAATATGGCAGGTGGGGGAGAACTTCCTAACCTAACTCCATAATCTTGTGTTGCATCAAATGTGCCACATGTGGATATGCATTGTTGTGGAGAAGAAGAACACCTTTCCAATTGATGAGTGAAAGGCATTTCTAATGAAGGAATTGATTTAAATGTTCCAGTTGCTGACTATAGATCTCTGCATTGACATTTTGCTGTGGATTGAATTCAGAGTTCGAAATGAATTACCCCTTTGATGTCCCACCAAATGCAAAGCATCACTTTCTACAGATAGAGTCCAGGTCGGAAGTGTCTAGGACTGACCCATTATTTTTGGCATTTAATATTTGCATAGAAAATCCATTTTTTATCACCGGTGACAATTCTATCCAAAAATGGTTCACGCACATTATGCGCCGGAAGAAACGAAGCAACGTTCACACGTTGGAAACGATGGTCATCAGAGAGTTCTTGAGGCACTCAAACACCTTCTTGAAGGAGTTTTCCTATATTCCTTAGGTTTTTTATGTATTGTTTCATGAGAGACATGTAATTTCAGGGCCATTTCATGAGTGTTTTGCCTTGGGTTAGACTCAACAAGTGTCTTCAGAGCCTCAATATCAATTCCAACGTGTCGGCCCCTGCCATCACAGTCTTTAAGGCTAAAGTCACTTGAACAAAATTTGCTGAACCATCGTTGACACTCACGTTCATTCAAAACATTTCCATAAACTTCTTTGATATTCTTTGTGGCTACAGAGGTGTTGCTTCTCTTCTTTTATTCAAACAGCATTACTTGGCGAATGTATGTCTCATTGTGTGCCATTACTATAAGGGGTTAGAGTATACTAAACTTTACACATTATATAGGATACACTAACATGACGTTTAACTATTATACGTGATGTACGTTTTTTTTGGGGGGGGGTAATGAAAGTGTTCCAAAACATGATATTAATTGTTTGACGACCTAATACGTGTTTGTAATAAATTGGTAAAAAATAGCATGCTAAATAATATTTTCCAATAAACCAAACTATAAAACTAAATTTAGACAACAGTACATTCCAAAGTGCAACCTTTTGAATGACTTGTGAGAATATTTCTGTATGGTTGTACCAAGACCATTTAAAACTAGCAACTCAAAAAAGCTTTCCTTTAATAAAAGTATCATTGTTTAGTATGTATTACTCTGTAAAATAAGAAAAACAGTCATTGACTTGAATCTTTTAATTTTCTCTGAGAGTGTCAGATCCTAGTTAATTTTTATCATATTACATATATATTATAGGTGTGTTGTGGCATGGATGCTGACTAAGAAATATAAAAATAAAATAATTTGTTTCTTACTAGTCATTGTGAAATAATATATATAAATAAATATACAAATAGCATTTCAAATAAAGAATTGCTTACTGTACAGAGCCCTGGAGGAGACATGGAAAACAAATATATAGATTTATGTTGTGAGAAATATTTCTTGATAACATGATAATATATCATGCACACAACATAAATATTTCTTTTTCCCATATCCCTTCCTAGTCTCACTACATCTACATGCAGTCATTTCTTGATAAATTTGAGTATAACAACAATTTTTCATTAAACTTGGCATTCTTTTCTTTTAAAGTATAATATTTGAAATTCATCCAAAAACATTAAGGTTGGAGAGATACTTGGGAATCGTGTATGATGAAATATATCAATCTATAACGATTTGAATACTTAATGAGATTCACTTATTCTATGCATTTTATGACAGTTATCCATGTAGATGGGGTGGAGTTGTGGGTGGTTTTCCTGTAGTTGCTAATCTAGAAGAATTTGGACAGAGGGTGTTGGATAACTTGTGGAATGCAGTGACAAAGTTCTATTGCCCAAAGGTGAAATTATTTTGTGTATTTTGATATGTTGTTTTTTCAGTGTATGATAGATTCTGTACAAATCTTCTTTAAGTAATGTTTACTAATCTATGATGGGTAAAACAGATAAATCACAGGGGATTTTTTTTTCTTTTCACTATTAGTGTTATTTTTAAAATGCTTGAAATGGAACTTGTAGTTTCTACTGTCATATTTGTTTTGTAGAAAAATGCTTAGCCAGTTGAAAGGATAATAAAAGTTAAACTCAAAATTTTAAAGCAAATTTTCATGCTTACTTTTTTCCCCTCATAATGTCTGTAATTTGTTTTTGCTTTACTCTTTTGTTAATTGACAGTCACTGACACATCACTGAGAAAATAAAAATAGGCCGTCACGGATAGTGTTAAAGATTCTTTAGAAACTTTCAATTAAAAAAGTGTTCTATA